CGATTTCGTATATGTCCGAGAAGTTGTCTAAGGCACAGCGTAACTATTCTGTGTCCGAATTAGAATGTCTTGCTGTAATTAAGGGGATAAAAAAATTCCGTGCGTATATTGAGGGTCAGGATTTCTTAGTCATAACGGATCACGCCGCGCTTCAATGGTTAATGCGACAAAAAGACTTGTCAGGGAGATTAGCTCGATGGTCAATGAAGTTAAGAACGTTTACATTTACCATCAAACACCGTAGCGGTTCTCAGAATGTCGTAGCTGACACTTTGTCTCGGCAAAACGATCCAAGCATTGATGAGTTTTGTCAGAATGGTCCGATAGTGGACTTAGACTCTGCCCACTTTAAATCTTCAGAATACACGGACTTACTAGAAAATATATCCGCCAACCAGTCCAAATTTCCCGATCTGCAAATCAGGGATGGGTACATTTATAAGAAAACTTCGTTCCCATCAGACGAGGCCAACCAGGAAAACGTCTGGAAACTCTGGGTTCCTACAGCTTTGGTACCAGATATTTTATACCAGGCTCATGATTCACCTAGTTCAGCTCATTGTGGTATGAGCAAAACCGTGGAAAAACTTAAGAGATATTTGTTTTGGCCATACATGGTCACGCAAATACGCAACTATATATCTGACTGCGTAGTTTGCCGAACCACAAAAAGTCCAAACACTATTCTTAAACCACCAATGGGGAAACCGTTGACTTCAGATGGGCCATTTCAAAAGCTATATATTGACCTGTTGGGGCCATATCCTCGCACGAAGAAGGGCAATATAGGTTTACTCATTGTAGTTGACCATAACACTCGTTTTCATTTTCTGTGTCCGCTTAAAAAGTTCACGGCTCCTAAAATTTGCGAATATTTGGAGGGGGCTATTTTCTATACTTTCGGGGTTCCAGAAGTAATACTTTCTGATAATGGTAGTCAATTTAAATCGAGTTATTTTCAGGCTTTTCTTACCAGTTTTGGAGTACAACAAAAATTCACAGCCATATATTCCCCGCAGGCTAACGCCAGCGAAAGACTTAATAGATCAGTATTGGCAGCAGTAAGGGCTTATATTGGGAATGATCACACAATTTGGGATGACAACTTAAATGCCATTAGTGGTTCATTAAGGGCATCTCTTCACAGGAGTACTGGTTCATCGCCGTATTTCCTGGCATTTGGGCAGAATATGATTCTTAACGGCAAGGACTACAGCCTTCTACGTAGTTTGAACCTGTTAGCAGATGACACTAGGCTACAAAAGCCAGATGTTTTGCAGCTGCAGAGATGGAAAGCTAAGCTGAACATAAACAAGTCTCATGAAGAAAATGCAAATAGATACAATCTGCGAGCCAGGGAAATACAGTTTAAAGCTGGCGACCTAGTTTACGCTAGGAATTTTACTCAAAGCAACGCCATAAAGAAATTTAGCAGTAAACTAGCTCCCGTGTTTATCCCAGCCAAAGTTTTTAGGAAACGTAGTCCATATTACTATGAATTAGTGGATGAAAAAGGGAAGAATTTAGGCGTATTTCACTTAAAAGATATACAGAACAGGAAAATTTCAGATAATGCTTCCAAGAAATAATCTTGTCTCCATTATCTGTGGGTGTAGTGGCCAGTTGAGCTTTTACGATAAAGAACTATTCACCCCACCCTCGCATAGATAAATGTAACTTCACAGGTCCGAAGGCCTAGCTTACTCTCTACCAATATCAATGCAAATAAGCGAGATAAGCACCAGTCACGCTTGCAAAAATCGTACGATTCAACCGTTGATCAGAACTGCAGTTGAAAGCTTTTCAAGAGCGGCTTATCTACACTTCGTTTTCAACCTTGCATTCAATACCTGATCTGCGCTCTTGGTGGAAAGTTCGATCGTTCAATTTTTGGCTTAGGCCTAATTAATAAACCTCGTGTTACCCTTATCTTATATAATCTCGATCTGTGGTGTATTAATATAACCAGGAGGTTATTAATAATAACTAGTGAATTTGTGATAGTGAGTGAAAGGTAAACAAATGCAGAATTTGTGGGTCTCCAATTTAACCGAATTTTTCTTAGGGATCCGCATAAGAAGGCGAGGCGTCAGACGTATATCAGTAGATCCCGTTGAGGGAGTCTGCTCCTACATTAGGCCGAATACAGTCTGATCGCCCTACGCCTGCTCAACAAGATTGCATCAGTTCCAACTTGCCCAAATTCTTGATGAAAGTGGCCCAGAGGAAAACATAACCTCCGGTGGCGAGATTACGCAACCGCCACGTAGGTTGACATTTGGACACCGGTCGCAAGATCATTATTATTCAACGCGGAGTACCTACCCATCGACACTCAGGATCGCTTTACTACGAAGGTGCAGAAGGTGTAGCCACATCTGGCCTATACACCTGGCCCTAGCACCAGCCCAGCAACAACTCGGATCGTGCCACTGTAAGGAGCTGCCAAGACGACCATAAGTCGGCCAACGGCTGAGGACAACGTCCAGCCCGTCCAGCGATCTATGTCCGGCCATTAGGAGTCTCTATTTTGTATCCCTTTAATTTGTCTTTGACAACTTGCTAATTGGCATGAGTGCGGTATTTGTATAGGTCATTTAAAGTAGATTTTATCAAATATTTTGACCAACAGCTCATCAACGGACATGTGAACTTGGGCCCAACTTTACAACTCGTATCATGGAGCAGAAATAAAAAGGTCGTGAGTACTTATTAAAACGAATATCTATTTTAAAACCTATAATTGCCGCCCTATTGTCATTAAATGCATTATTAAACTCATAGCTTAAATTCATAAATATATAAATGAAAGATTGATCGTTCTTACTTAATTAATTGTGAAATGAAATTTTATTGAATATGAAATGCAACTTTAATTCTTATGTTAGGAAATTCTTAAATTGTTATATATATGAATCAATGGAACATAGAGTAGATAAATATGATTATAAATGAAATATAGGATTTAATTAAAATAATGAAGTTTGAATAAATAATAATAATGGTCTGTCGAGTACTTATGTCGAACACTTCGTTAATAATGTGGTAGAGATCGTTTAATCTTGGCCAAGGGACAATGCAAGAATTTAAGTAACATTGTCATGGAAGGGAGGGTAAAGACTTAAGGGATAATAACATCTAGATTCCCAAAAGAAAGTATCGGATCCTCAGTTGATTTTCAGTGTGTCGGCGCACTACAATATTAAATTAATTGTTTTATGGCTTAACCATTAGTCTTGATTGTTTGTCCTTTTGATTATTACGCACTAGTAAAGTGTGGTAGCGTGCAACCGTACCCTCTCAAGCAAGGAAGAACTCCGACATCCGGCGAGCTAGAACCGAGCCTAGCAAGAGTGCGTATCCCAAGCTTGAAGGTATAAGGTCCTCTCTAATAGTATCTTCCATCCGCTAATAGACGACCGACTATCGAAAGATAGAGATAGATTTTGCTCACCAGCACCCCCGTACACTACAGATTATAAGGCTGTGAAATATGCAAAAACACGCGTTTTTGGGACATTTGAATGTGCGTAGAAGCTGATTGGCTATTGATATTAACAAATCCAAAAACTTATATTCTTATTTTGACTAGTAGAAGTAAAAAATAAGAAAAAATCAACTTAAACATTTTTTTGTCGCACAGTGTTATTGAACTCGCTGTAACGTCTGAATTAGCTTGCGATGCATCCATGTATTTGAGCTCTTATAGTTCTCGAGATCCAGACTTACGGACAGACAGCAACAGTTCATTAGGAATAGGAAAGGATAAGAGGATAAAACATAAAAAAATTATGTTTAAAAAAAATCAAATTTTAAATAAATATAGTAAAAATATATTTTTTTTTTACTTTTTCCAAGTTTAAGGGGCACAACTAGTGTGACATTTCAAAAAAATCTTTTTTTTTTTTCATATTTCGGTAGATTACACCTTTAAAAATAACATATTAAAATTTCAAATCGATATCTTAAATAGTTTTTGAGTTTTAGCAATTTTAAGAGCAGCCGCTCGTATAGCAGTGAATACGATCATTTTATCTTTAAACGCGTTTTTCTCGAAACAGCATTTTCCGAATTTGCTGCAGTGATAACTCAAAAACTAATGATCCGATCACTATCAAATTTTTTTTACATATTCTATATATAGTTCTCCCTACAATGACCTATCGATTTTTTGATCCGATCAAAAATCAAATTTTGGCAGGCCAAAAACGACCAAAATTTTGGGTAAAATTCGATTTTTTTTTTTTAAACACTGCTATTTTGTCAATTTTTGATATTTTTTATTTATCGTAGGTCATTGTATAGAAAATATCATCTTGTTTAACGAGAATTTTTCATTTTTTGATTTCATCCACGGAGAGGGCCGGAATCACTGCAGCAGTTAAGGCACCTTTTTTTTTAGCGCCGTTGGAGATTGGCTCTAACTTAAAAAATATTTAATTTTTTCCTTTAAAAATTTCACTGTATATTCTTCAAACATGTATAAATATATTCTGAAAATTTTAAAATAATTGATCAAGTAGTTTTTTTAATAAAAATTCCCAAAAATCACCTTTTTTTTGGCCGTCACACTAGTTGTGCCCCTTAAATACTTTTTGAGCAACTTTTGAAGGTTTCGTGAAAGTCACTCCAAATAAATACATTTTGTAACTTCTGGCAGTAGCGGCAGTTGCTTTTGAAAGACATTTCTTCGTAACTTTTGAAAGTGTCTCTAAGGTGGCTAAATCCTTCCCAAAAAACGGCAATTCCGTTATCGGAAAGCAATAATGCAGACGATAGTTTTCAACATCCAGAAATCATTAAATTGTGTATTCCGCGTTAAAAAATAAATATATAGCCGAGTTTGCGTAGAACCGGATAGACTGATGTTAAATTTTAATATACTTTTGATGATATGTTGTTGATATACATAGATGCTAGAATGTCTGCTTCATTGTGTTACGAACAAAATATGTCTTCTTAAAATAGTCGTACAAGAAAATGCTTGGTGTATACATTACCTCTCGAGTTACAATAAATCCAGCAGTCAACGGGGAAATAAAGGACGCAGACATGTGAATTGTTTGGCAAAATGCCAGAACGGCAGCAGAATGTCCATAGTTTGGTGCTAAATCAATTATATTGGCCATTGCTCCTGCATAAGATGCAGTTATAAATATCACCGCTATAAACCATACCGTTAACAAAATGTGTACATTATCTATATATCCAATACAATATATTAAGAGCCCTGGAATAATTTGCGAAAGAGCCGTAAATAATTTTCTTACATTAGTTAAATTTAAAACTTTGTACATTACAAATTTATCAGCAATATAGCAAAAAAATACCGATGAAATATATGAACAAATAAATGGCATTCCTGACAGAAAGCCATTTGTTTCAAAATTAAACTTTAAAACCTTCCCCATAAATGTAGGGCCACTAACAATAAAAACATAATGAACGAATATTCGACCAAATGTTGTTATCGCAATCGCCCAAGCAGGTAAAGACCTGAATATTTTAAGCCAAGGGATTTTAACTTTGGCTGCATTGATAACCTCTTTTCTTACGTTAAGTTCTATAAAATTAAGTTCCTCCTCGGAAATACGTGGATGTTCTCGGGGTGTATTGAAAGCTAGTAAATACCATAATAAACACCACCCAAGTCCTAATGTGCCAGTTGTATAAAAAACATACGGCCAACTAAACTCTGACAAAATAAATCCACATAACGGGTAAGTTAAACCGATTCCTATACTAAAACCTTGAAAGCTTGACATAAAACGTGAACGTTCTGTAAGTGGTATCCAATAGCCAACTATTGCATACATCGCAGGCCAAGTCAACCCAGAGGCAAAACCCTGAATAGATCTTAACACAATAACACCTATATAATGAAATTGGGCTGCGAACGGCATCAGAATACTACATATAGCTGTTGCCAACTGTGACCATCCAAATACGCACTTGGTTCCAAACAACTCTGTGGCTATTCCTCCAGCCACCTGGGATAAAACGTAGCACCAGTAGAATGAACTAATTATTATAGATTTTACAATAGATAATTGGTCTTTAGTGCCACCAGCCTAAAAAAAAATCGATTAATTTACTTTAACTACTTTGTCTGTAAGAATATTACCAAAACTGCTTGCGATCCATTATGAAATTGGTTGTGAGTAAAATTTTCATTTGAAATCATAGCTACCAAAGCGAAATTCATATCGTTACGCATCATAAACGATACCAGAAAACCCGACCAGGACAAAAAATAAAGCACCAATCGGGCCGGAATCTTGTCTGTAATTAAAAAAGTAAATGTTTATATTACACATTTACATTATTATATTTATACATACTTTAAAATAATTATTAATTGTCGATTATAATTAAAGTTTTCCTTTGAATTCATAACAAAAGAGGAAGCTAGCTTTGGCAAGCCGAAGCTTAAAAAAAGCTTGCCGATGCTTAAATACCCTAGCAGTCTTCAAATATGTCGAACAAATACATAGAGGATAAACCACATGGAAGCTTTTACGATTTTTTCTATTCATTTTCCATATTTTCGACTATTGTTCATATGGCAGCAATATGATATATTCATCCGATTTTGATGAAATTTAATGTGTAATTCAAGAGTCATTAGAAAACAATATATTCCAAAAATCATGATTGTCTGATGAAAAACAACGATGTTACCATTTTAATTCCGTTATTTTCTATATGTGGCAGTTATATCTCGTAATTTGTTTTTTTTTTTTTTAATTTTTTCTCGATTCAAGGGTATTAAAAAAAACTCGATGTACCAAAAATCATGCTTATGGGATTAAAAACATCGACTTTATAATTTTTTTTTCCATTATTTATATATACAGTGGTGGCCGTAAGTATTTTGTCAAAATAAAAGTGAAATATACTCGAAACCTGAACTTGCTTCTTTTAACTTTTGGTATCAATGGAAAGGTAATTCAAGTGCCGTTTGAATGATACCATACTTTTCTCAACTCATTCGATATTTATTGAAAAAGGCAATTAAAAAAAAAAAAGTAAAAAAAACTTTTTCCCTCGGCTTCAAAACTAAACTTTTTGGATGCAAAAAGTTTCTTTAATCAAAAATAATAGGAACTGCAAAAATAATTTTTCAAAAATAATTTTTCTTCTATTTTTAATAATTTTTTGAAAATGACTGGAAATACGCATTTCAGCCATATTTTTCTCAAACTGTGCTGGGAGCACAATGCCACGAATGATCGTACCTCTTCCTGGTTGCAGAGCTGTGGCCAATCGACTACTTTTTGAATTTTCTCGGGGCATGCCTTTAATCCGTTGTGGCTTACAGTGTGACCTAGGTAGTACACTTCGGGACGGAAGAAAACACATTTTCGCGGACTCAGCTTGAGGCCGGCGGTTGCCAAACGGTCGAATACTTGGTCTCCATGAACCACGTGCTCCTCGGCTATGCGGGAGTGTACGATTATGTCGTCTAAGTACACCAGTGTTGATTTCCAAGGGAGACCGGCAAATAGGCCGTCCATCAGGCATCAGACCGAATGGCATAACAATGAATTCGAACAACCCCACGTCAGAAGTGAATGCAGTTTTGGGGCGCGATTCCTGGTCCAATTCTACTTGCCAATATCCACTTTGCAGATCCATGGTAGAAAACCAGCGGGCGCCATGCAAGGAAGTAAAAATGTCGTCCATTTTAGGCACCGGGTACGCCGCCGTAACGTCGTTCAGGCGGCGATAATCCACGCAGAATCTGGTGGATCCATCCTTTTTTCGCACTAAGACTACGGGCGATGCCCAGGCTGGTATATTAGCGATTAACTGTTCTACCTCCGATTTTCGGGATTTTAGGAGACAGTTCAGCCGGTAGACGGAGCTCACGCCCCAACATTAATAGTCCTGTTGAGAATCCAGTGGCTTCATGCGGAGCTGAGCGATAAGCCCACAGGGCTAGCGGTAGGAGTTGGTCCCAATCCCGCTGATCGGCTGCAACAAATTTAGCTAAAAAGTCCAGCAAGGTACGGTTAAACTCCTCGACCATGCCGTCTGATTGAGGGTGAAGCGGGGTCGTTCGGTTTTTTTCCACATCTAGAAGGCGCATGCTGGATTAAAATACCCCGGACTCAAAATTGCTCAAATGGCACTCCATAATGGCAGATAATATCTTGCACAAGGGCCTTGGGTACGGTTTCAGCCGTCTGATCAGGAAGGGCGATGAATTCGGGCCATTTAGTAAAATAACACATCACCGCGGCAATGTACCTGTTGCCAAGCGAAGGCCCCAAAATGTCAATGGGGGCTTCCACCGCAAATCTGGAATTTGAGGGGTCGTTTTCCATTTTCCAACCATGATAGGACCAATGCTAAATTTGGGTCCTGTCGTTGAAAATGGGCATAATCGACAGCTTCGATTTGCATGAAAAGGACTCCAGATCTGTCGGACTGCTCAGCTTCTTCGCACACCGTGCATTCACCACAGGGTCGGCGTGAAAGAGCGTCAGCTCTTTAACAATTCGATATTGAAAGTCCATATGGTACTGCTGCAGGCGCTCGATCCAGGGAGCTAGTTGGCCTTCCGGTTCCTTAAAGTTGAACAGCCAGCGGAGCGATGTATGGTCCGTCCCCAAGACAAACTTTTGTCCGTACAGATAATGATGAAAGTGTTTGGTGGAGAGAACGGCGGCTAATTGTCTTCTGGTAACGCAATAGTTGCGCTCTGCTGCGTTAAATGTTTTGCTGTAGTATTCCAAAACACGCTCCTGACCTTCCTGACATTGGCTGAGTACAGCTCCAGCGCCGTGATTGGATGCGTCAGTGTCGAGAATGAGCAGGCCATCGGGATCTGGGAAAGTGAGTACGGGCGACGTTGTCAACTTTACGAATGCTTAAGCAGACCACGTGAAGGGGCGGCGGGCCTCAGTTAACTCATGCAGCAGCCGGGCTGTTGTCACAAAAGCTGGGAGCACAATGCCACGAATGATCGTACCTCTTCCTGGTTGCAGAGCTGTGGCCAATCGACTACTTTTTGAATTTTCTTGGGGCATGCCTTTAATCCGTTGTGGCTTACAGTGTGACCTAGGTAGTACACTTCGGGACGGAAGAAAACACATTTTCGCGGACTCAGCTTGAGGCCGGCGGTTGCCAAACGGTCGAATACTTGGTCTAAATGAACCAGGTGCTCCTCGGCTATGCGGGAGTGTACGATTATGTCGTCTAAGTACACCAGTGTTGATTTCCAAGAGAGACCGGCAAATAGGCCGTCCATCAGGCATCAGACCGAATGGCATAACAATGAATTCGAACAACCCCACGTCACAAGTGAATGCAGTTTTGGGGCGCGATTCCTGGTCCATTTCTACTTGCCAATATTCACTTTGCAGATCCATGGTAGAAAACCAGCGGGCGCCATGCAAGGAAGTCAAAATGTCGTCCATTTTAGGCAACGGGTACGCCGCCGTAACGTCGTTCAGGCGGCGATAATCCACGCAGAATCAGGTGGATCCATCCTTTTTTCGCACTAAGACTACGGGCGATGCCCAGGCTCGTATATTAGCGATTAACTGTTCTACCTCCGATTTTCGGGATAGTGGTACCCGACGTGGTGGTTGCTTAATAGGCCGGGCCTGGCCGGTGTCGATGGTGCGATGGGCAAGGTAAGTTTGCCCCATATCATCGTCCCGTTGGGCAAACACTGTCTCATAGTGTTGGAGTAATTTCTGCTAGTCTACGTGAAGGTTTGTGGGTAAGTCTGGCGGTAAAGCCAGTGACGTCCAGTTTGTACTGTCGGGCTTCCGCAACTTCGGAGCGACCGGCAGTACTTCGGCTGATTCCACTTGGCCCAAAATGGTGAATATTGGTAATCGGCATTCCCTGGAACTCCCTGGAAATCAGCAAGTGCTGAATTGTAGAGTTCTCTGTAATATTCACCACCATACTGCCCAAGATTACCTCAGTAGGTAACTGGGAAAAGGCACCACGCTCCAAGACTGCCACGGGCCATCGATCCCGTAATAGGCATCTGACTTTCAGAAAGGTGTTGCTGTAAGGTGGAATTCTGGTGGCGACTGTGGAATAAAGTAGGCTAGGCAGCGTCACACCTGGGGGCGTAGAGGGAAAAGTTCTCTGTACTTACCGGGAAAAACTTCGGAGCTAAAGATCTCCGGCTTTAACCAGGTTTCTGTGAACACAATAACTTGGGATGCAAACGAAAAGCTATCAGTATACAATTTGGTTAGCTTTCTACGCAAACCTCTATTCTGATAGATAATTATGAAGTTAGTTGTTAGTTTTTTGGGAAAGGAGCTAAGGACGGCGCAGTTTGTTGGTCCCGGCCGGGGAGTTTAATTCCCGTAGGGCCTTTCTTTTTTATTTTTGCTACGAACTCCTTAACCACCATTTTTGCCGGCCAAAAATCGTTCGAGCATATGGTGTTAAAAGTTCGTCAGGAACACTTATCTTAAAAGATGAAAAGTTCCTAGCATATGAAAAGTTACATTTTTCCACCTTCACTATATATTTTGTCTTTGATGTAAGACGATTCATCAAATGATGTGAGATTAGGGTGTAACCGAGAAACAAATATTTGTCCCATTTGTGGAACCAATGTGAGGGGTTTTGCTACTGCAGGCTGTGGGCCTGCTGTGACAAGTTGGGCCGATAGTCTGGTCTCAGAAACCTCTTGTGGGGGTATATTTGGCTGGTTAGGTGGAATTACAGTTTGAGAACCACCTTCACACAAATCGGAACTTTTTACAGGCGTTGGTCTCATACACTCCACTGTGGATTGATCGGGGTCCGAATCTTTTTTAGCTGCCGATCTTAGCAACATTTGAGGGGTTGCTAAAGTCGGCTGCTCATCCGTAGAGGAGTTCTGCTGGTTGCTTTGGAGTTGCGGGATGATTCCCTCAGGCCTATCACCAGAAGCCCTTTAGCGCTTTGAACGCTTAGAACTTTCGAGTTTGTTAGTACAAAAGGAGAAGAGCGGGAGAGCGAAAGAGCGGGGACAGTTAATGTGCATGCACTTGTAAGAACAACACTACTGTTGACGGACAAAGCACAAAAAAAGTCAGTAAGGCAAAAATTAAATCGTTAAATAAACACAATATGCACAAAAATTTACTCGCGAAGCGAACGGTTTCGAACACAAGGGTATTTAAGTAACTAAATATTCAAATTTAAGAACAGAACCACCGCTGGTTGTATCAATAAAATAAAAAATTCGGAGCGCACAAAAAAACACGACCGTTCGCTTGAAAAGAGAATCAAAAATTAATGAGTTCAGTTTGAGGCTT